GGTTTCATCTCTTGTGTGGTTCTTCTTCTTCCAACAACCCTAGAAGTAGATAAATGAGCGTAGCCTCAAGGTGAGACAATCGCTTTGTTAACCGTTGGATTCTCGTTGGCTTTTCATTTGCACTACTACTTATTGCCGTTGTTATTTTATAGATCTTGCTAACTTAGCGGTATTACTTTCCTAGATTTGGTTAAATTCTGAGATCTTTTTTTGAAGTTTCAATTAAGAAAATCATTAAGATTGAACTTTCACTACTTTAACAAACTTTTATTAATTTTCCGAGATTCTAATTCCTGGTTTCACATCATATTGGTATCAGAGCATGGCTAGCATGCTTTGTTTTTGCTAGATGCATCCTAGGAGTCTAGTTTACCTTGTCATTAGTCGTTTGCATGCATATCACCATTTAGGTAGCTAATTTGGTGGTTTTACTTTGCTGTCCAGTAAATTCTGCATTTTATTTTCATTGTGAACATGCATGTCTACTTTACCTAAGTGTTATTTTGGTCACTTACCACCCACCGCTTCACCTAAGTCACTTGCTACACTTAAAACCCTTGCTGTCCAGAACTTTTCCTGCACTGTTTAGTGACTTTTAGGTGCCCGTAAACCCTTGTTATGTTGCTGTCCACGCTCTACAACCCACACGTAACACTTAGGCAACCTAGGTCCTTGTGGTAGATTGCTGTATTTTCATTTCCTGCATCATTTAGAGGGTTTTCTAGTGTGTTTAACTTAGTCATAAGTGTTATCCTCACCCTAGGAGTTGACCTAAATGCTCGGACAACTTCTCCCACTGCTGTAGTTTGCTGTCCACTCAAAAACTGCACCGTTTAGAGGCGTTATAAGCTTGTTTTCTTCGAGTTTAGGTGTTGTCCTTGACTTTACCACCTTCCTAACTGCCTAGATTTCTTAAACCACCTTTGTAGCTTGATGCCCATTATTTTCCTGCACCTTATAGCAAGTCATAATTATGTTTCCTCCTCGTAGAGTATTGTCCCATACACCCAATCTTCTTTAGGAATCACTTAGCGCTTCTCAATGGACCAGATAAGACTCCAAAAGAGTTTAGATGACATCGTTAACCTAGTGGGCAATATGACTAGAATTATGACGGAGAAACCTGTTGACTATCCCCACTTGAATTATGTGTCCCCCTCTGCTTTTCAACCTAGACCCGAGTTTAAGCCACAACGAACTCACTTTGAACCACATTACCGACTACCCACCTTTGATGGTTCCTCGGACCCTTACTACTTTAGAGAATGGGTTAGACAATTAGAGAACTATTTTGAATCACATGAAATCCCTAATTCTCGCCAGTTTAGCATTGTTAGGTCACACCTGAGCGATAGTGCTATACAATTTTGGATGAGGTTAGAGGATCATAAAGAGTCTCGTGGCGAATACCCTACATCCGATTGGAAAAATATGAGACGAGAACTTGGATTAAAATACCTTTCCCCTACTTATGGTCACCCATCTGTTAGTAACATCAGGGTTGCTGCCCCACCCTATAGGTCTTCACCTAACCATGGTGGCCGGCCCACTACTGGGCCTTCTGTTAGACCAATCTCTTATGACTCCCCACTTGGACCTACTTCTAACCATCCCAGTCAACCTTTAGACTCCTCATTCCTTGACCCTGCAGGTATGATTGTAATAAAAGAATGCAGTAAAAAGAAGAGGTCCCCTGAACCTGAGACTGAGTGCATCCATTTCGTGGATGCTAATGATATCAATAAAGACGAAGAATTCTTTGAGGATGAAACAATAGTGATTGAATCAGACTCCCCGCATGACTTAAATCCTGAGCTAGAAAAATTTGAACCTTTAAACGCCGACACCTCAGGCCACCCCGATCCTAGTCTCCTCGAGGATAAGCCTTTGGACAAAGTATGCCTGGATGATAGTAATGTGATCTTGAAAGAAGCCAATCTGACTTTGAACACATTGAATTTAAATTTGGAAGATCCTGACTTAGCTGTAACCCCTACTAAGTTGACTTCAGATAATCTTGATGATAACGATCTCGAGTCAGAAGTTGTTAAATTGAATTTACTACCTGATGTGAGTCCCAAGTTAACTAACCCCGAGCCTGTCAATCTTAAGGTTATACCCAAATCTGATCCTATTGATGATAGAAATATGAGTTCGGAAGACAATGATTTGATTATGAAAGTTTCTGAGCCTAACTTGAATAGTGGGTCTCATCTTATTTTATTGGAGTCTATTTTAGGAATCACTCATCTAGATTTACATTTTAAAGAATGTGACTTCCGTGACTGGGCTTATCTCACCACTCCTCATACCGACTTTAATATTAGAGAGAATCTTAACCCACACTGTCATATCACCAATCTAGCTGGTGTGCCCTCTTATGTAATGGATACCATACCCAATTTCTTAAGTCCCATACCTGCTGGTGACTCGTTTGGCTATTCCATTATGGTTGCGAGTCAGGAGCCATTATCTTACATTGTTCTTGATTCATTTGTTTTGCCGACTATGTTCTTGTCCCTCCCTGTTAAGGACAATCTCTTTCCTAGTGGGATGAATTTACAAGATGACACAATTGACCCTAGGAGACAACCTACGACCCTAACTGAAACTTTCTATCAAAGTGTCGTTGTAGCTAAGGATGTCTTCATTGCTCCCCCTCAACCAGTTCCCTTAGACCTGAACACTTTAAGTCCCCTCAGTTAGTGACTCTTCCACGTTTATTTTACCGTGTTCGTGTGAGTTCGTATGTTGTGTTGTAGTCTGTTGTCTTCCTAATTTGTCTATGTTTAGAACTCTAGTTTGTAAGCTCATGATTCTTGTCATCCATCATGCACACCGAGTCTCTTGCATCCACATTTGCATCTCATCTTCAAGAACTGCAGAAGGATATTAATAAAAAGAATACCAAAAGCAATGCTAGTTATAAACTTACTGTCGATCTCAAGAGACGGTTCAAAGAATTTGATATTAGAGATTTTGTATTGGTTCGGATTCGTCCGGAGCGGTTCCCATAAGGGACCATTATAAAGTTATATGCTAGAAGTGTTGGACCATTCAAATAAATAGCAAAAAGATTTAAATAATAATGCTTATGTGTTAGACCTGCTTGAAGGTTTTAACATTAATCCTATATTAACATCGAAGATCTTGTAACCTTCGAAGGTCCAGAGTGTAACCCTCCTATTCCACAAAATAATGAGCCTTGTGTGAACCCACCTGGTGAGATCCAGCCTAACTCCACCCCCAAAATTGCCTAATTTACCCAATACAGAAAAGATTGAGACAATACTGAGTGATGAACTCAAATTTCCACTAGAGATGATGGTCAAACAAAGGTATCTAGTT